ATAATGTATTAAATATTTAAAACAAACTCAAAGAGAATCTTATAAAAAGGGATAGACCTATTTAAAAAATTGAATCTTATAATAAGGGAGTATGTGGCTTCCATTGTTCTGCTACTTCGTTTATAAAAGAAGAACACTGTGAGAAACACTATGTCCAATATTTAATTAATGTTAATTAAATATGGACATTAATTATCATGTGTTGCGATAATTGATACGACAGGTATCATGTGCCTCGGTCCTTCCTGAAAGCATCCGGAAACGTTCTGGTTGTAATGGAAGAAGGTGGTGGGAATCCTCTTGGTGTCTCCTTGAACACTGTTTCTGTCAAGACTACTTCACATGAACATTTTCCCAAATTGTCTTTTCCTTCTGCTACCTAGTTTGTTAATTCTACGCAAAGAGTTACAGCAAAACACACACTCATGGGCACACACAGAATCTTTTTTTTTTTTGGGGGGGCGGTAATTGGGCCTGGCATACACACAATGCATAATTTATTAACTCACTCCGAATAAAATACTGAGTATTCTGGCATGGATTCTTCTGTTGCATCCACCACTATTATATTTACTCTTCGATTTGTGCATCCACACGATCGGCACACATTTCCAACAAAATTCTTCTGTTTCAAACAGTTAATTCAACTCTCTCTATCATTTGTTACCCCAAAAAAAAAAATTCCGCAATTATTTTTCCTGATATTCTTTTCTTTCTTTTACAAATATTGTCATATAAATATTTTCTTTTTATATACTAAAATGTATAAAACCATGTACTATATCATATGAGAACATCAAATCCATTTTTTTTATTATTAATAATTAAATAGATATCCAAAGTACCTCCCGTATGTTATAATATAGTAGAAAACAATGCAAATGGAGAACGTGGGATGACTGGGATCACGTCAGGAGGGTAAATGGCGGTCAGGTTCTTAAACAGCAGAGATACGTCGCACTACGCGGGAATTTAATGCAGGGCCTTTTTCTGGTGTCATGCGCGACGTGCGAGAGATAATAATAAAAATAAAAAATATCAATTAAAAGTAGAAGCATCATCTGCACAAATATGTTAAATTCTCTAATTACACATAATCATATGTTTTTTTTAATTTTATGTGAATTTATAATTAAATATTATTAAATACTAATATTAAAAAAATTACCACATGGTCATGGGTGAGTAGACAATTTGACATAATAAATAAAAAGAATTTGATATAAGTATTGTCCTACATATATAATAATATGTTTAGCTAAAAGAATTAATTCCTAATAACAAGATGAATTACATTTTAAATTTTATTAAAATATGTTTATATTTAGAGTAAAATATTTTGATTACTCTTCTAGTTTGCATCAATTATATAGATCTTTCTTCTATTTTAAAAATATACAGTTTAATCCAATATGTTAACATCGTTAGAAATATTCTGAATCTAAAAAAATTATTTTAACTAAAATTTATATTAAAACAAATTTTACTTACTATTTTACCCTTCATTTTAGTAAATTTATAAATTATATTTTTACAGGATTAGATGAATGAATGGAGTCACGCCTTATGTCTCCCAGTGCTTGTTGCTTGACACCAAAGGCAATACCCCACAGAGAAACGCGCTGACACTGGTGAGAGCTGTATCATGGCTGTCTTTGTCTTCACTCTGTGTCGGTTCATCTTTCCCTTGGCCTTGCGGTTTTATTTTTATTATTGTTTTTCTTAAATAAATGGACTCCATATCCACTCATAATATATATAATCGATATTCGTTTTCTTAAGCAGGGAGGTCATACTAGGATCTAAGAAAGATCAATCCAATAAAGATTTAAGCAATTTGTTTTCGCAGATCAAATTTGGGGTTGGGGCTCCTTCTGCGGGGCCTACCATATTCACCACATTTCCCCCTAACATGATATGTATAGATAGATACTAAGGTAAAATTCAGATCATTATACATTTAATTAGGCTTTTTTAAATCATAATTCTCACATTCACTGTAGTCTCACAATCTCATAACTAAAAAGAATTTTAAAAAAATGTTCACTCTAATTCGGATAACTAGTACGGTATTATGCAATAAACTGATATGAATTAATAGTCTTTTATGTACCATAAAAACTTGAATCATCACATAGTTAGTTAAAAAAAAAACATTTTTGCTTTAAGTCATACTTTCAGCTTAATATCAATAAAGTATTCATAAGTTTTTAAAGCGTGCAAAATTTTTATATATATATATAAATTCGTTATCGGCCTTTTATTGCTCAGTGTTATATCCGATATTTAAACAAAGCCTACTATTCCACAGTTTGGCTTCTTTTGAGAATTTAATCTTGTTAAAATTAATGCATATTCAACATCAACAAATCCAATTCGAGGAGAATTCTTAAAACGACAATATAACAAAATTTATGTAATCAAGAAGTTCATATTCAAGTTTAAACCCATGTATAAGAATAATGTGCAAATATAGTACTCTTTCCGGTTCTAAATATAAGACTTATTTTATAATGTAATTTATACTATAAAATAGGTCTAAGGAAGAGTAACGTATAGGTAAAATGATAAAAGGAACAAAGTAAAAACCCCATTTCATAACTCTACTATACAGAGCGCTATTATTTTATGAAGTTTATTTATTTATATAAATTTTTTTTTAACAATTATGATTGTTTTGAAAATTAAACGTAATATATTATCATTTGAGAATATTTTATCAACATTTAAAATCTCAATGTCATTATTTTTTGTTAATAATTTTAGGGTTAAAAGACTAAAAATATAATTTTTTAAAAATTAAAATACCAAATTAAAATTTTCTATAAAATTAAAAAACCAAATGTATATTTTAACTTTGAATTAATCAACACTAAAAATATGTTTGTAGTTTGCTTAAAAATGCATTTAGGAGTCAAACAAAGGAGTTGGTAATGCGTTTAAATCGGCACCATTATTAGGTAGACCAGCGATGAGCCTTTAGCGTTGGCAATAGCATATGTGTTGACTGTTGAGCTCTGCCGATAGAGTCAAAGCACCAACTTGACTGTTGTGCTTTGACCGTACTCATATGCCACTTTTCATCTTCATACTCTTTTAAGTATATTAATGATACTATTTCCTGTTTTAATTATAAGACCTCATTTATAATTTACAAATAAGGCCTTATAAATACGATCAGAAGTAATACAAGAAAATAAGAGAAATTTTAATTAATTCAATTTTTATTAAAATATTTATTTGATCAGATTCTAGTTTTGATCTATATAATTTCAAATAAGTAGATTTGATCCCTATATTTTTGTAATTTTTTGTTTGAATTTAACGAATAATCTCTACAAAGAGTTTAGGTTTTAAGTCCTAACAAACTCCTTATGAAATTATAGGAACTAAATAAAAATTTGATCAAACTATGAGGACTATTAATGATATTAATCTTTACAAGAATTTAACCGTTGTAGCTGATGTAAAGTGTTTATTAATTCTTGTTAAAATCATAAAATGTTCCATTTGGATGGACATTCCCATCAAAATATATAAATTTCTAACCACCTTCTAAATAATTTATTTTTCTATTTTAAGCCATCATTATATTTTAAAATTCATTACCACTTAAAACTTAACGACTTGTTAAAGTTCCTGTTATATTTTCTTTAACGATTTCTCTATATTTATATGGAATTTATTTTTTTTCCCAACATATTTATATGGAGTTTAAATGAGGTTCATTACTCACAATAGATACATTATTGATGTTGGAGGATGTAAATATTTTCGGATATTTATTGTTCTATAAATAGGACAGGATATAAATATTGCTAGCAGATCAGATCAGAATAATTATTAATCTATTTGCGCGCTGGCCACAATACATACGCTGATCTTCTTTCCCATCGAAATGTGTTCCTGAAGATTTCCCCAAAAACAAATAAGATAGGAGTAAAATTTAGCAGTCGGTGACGTTGAGAGATAGAGAGAGACATCTACGCACACAAAATTAATTAATTCACCTTTATTAGGTGGGAAAGCGGGATATTAATTATTCCGACTTCATAAAAACAAATTTCTATCGTTATTTTTCAATTTTTTTTGCCGGAGTTATTTTTTAATGAAAATGACAATGCCATTTGTGGCATGATAAATTTTAATTACGAGATGTATTGCATACTGATATAACTTAATTTATTTAATAATATATAACTTGAAATACTTAATTTTTCTAAACTAATTTTTATAACTTATAAATTAATATATAATATAATATTTTAAAAATATTATTTCTAATTTATTAAAAATTAAGAAATTTTTTAATTATTAATAACTTTGGCAAAAAAAAAATCTATATAACTAGTCATTCCTGTTCTAAATATAAAAACTAACGTGTACTGTAAATTATACTATAAACTAGATCTTATATTTATGACTAAAAATAGTAGTTCTTTAGTCTTTCATGTATGACCTAATTGGTGAGTTGATCTTTGTCGTAAATATAAGACCTATTTATCATATTTATTAATTTTTTTAAATTATCTTTACTAATACTCCTTCAACTATACTTAAGTAGAACATGGAGGGAGGGTATTAAAAAAGATGATTATGGTATTTTAGGAAAAATATATCATATTTTTTATAATTAACTAACTTAGTTAACTTTTTTAATGTAATTAAATTAATTAAATAGGTCTTATATTAAGGATCCGAGAAATATCTTATGGGCCAATTTAAAATAAGTTATAAATAATTTATAAATAATTTATTAATTATGATTTACTAAATATAAGATAAATATATAAAATTTTTTTATCTCAGTTTACGAAAAATAAAATGTGCTTATAAAAACTAGCAGTGTAAATCTTTGACTATTAACTATTTAACTAATGACAGGAAACTGCTCATTAAAAATTTACTCGTATAAAAAAATATGGATAAAATAAATCATTAGCGCTGCCACTCTGTTTCCCACTCTGACATCTTTCTTCGTTATAAGTTTGCGCCTCAGACTGAGCGAAAGGCAAGAGCTTTCTGAAAGCTCAAAGCTGTATTGAAAGCAAGATGAAGCTATCCTTCCTATCCATTGTGCCTTTCGTTTTATTTCTTCTATCTTCTTCGTTTTCATCGGTTTTGGCTGGCAATGTAACATACGATCATCGCTCTCTTATCATCAATGGCCAGCGAAAGCTCCTTATCTCTGCTGCCATTCACTATCCTCGAAGCGTTCCTGCGGTGAGGCAACTCCTACAGAAACTTCTAACTTGTTTGAACTTTACTTTTGATTTCTCCTCAAAGGGAGCGAAGAGGTCTTGTTTCTATTTTAGTCTGTACCAAACAATAAGCTGGAGTAAGCATTGGGGGGCTTTATCAATCTACTAATTCTACTTTCCAGAAATGTTTCCTACCACCAAACTGACTCTTTATGCAATGGGGCTTTACTCTTTTGGATAAATTTTAATCTAATTTATTTCCTCTCTTCCTGTAGTCTGCTCTGCATTTTCATTCAGATTGTTATTGCTTGGTGTCAGTTGAGCATTTTGTATTTTGATGCCTAGAAGTTAATATCTTTCAATCATGTGCTGTGTGGTAGATGTGGCCAGGGCTGGTTCAAACAGCGAAGGAGGGAGGCGTAGATGTAATCGAAACCTATGTTTTCTGGAATGGGCATGAGCTTTCTCCAGGAAATGTGAGTTGTAAAAAGTTATCTAGATGTAGTAATTTTAAGATACATACACCTAGAGCATACCAGAACGTGTTGTAAGATATGATTTTTTAAAGCTCAATTTCCACTGAAGGTTTGTTATCTGGCAGTATTACTTTGGTGGTCGATTCGATCTAGTGAAGTTTGTAAAGATTGTTCAGCAGGCTGGGATGTTCCTGATTCTTCGGATAGGTCCATTTGTTGCTGCAGAATGGAATTATGGGTATGAGTTATTATGCTTGCTGCAAGTTGTGGCTCAGGACACCAGCTAATTTGGGTTCAACACTTAACACTGGCTGTTGTTGTACATACAATGGAAAAATTAATTGATATTAAGGGCTGTTTCAAACTCAATTATGGCTTCAGAAGTCTAAAGCATTGCTGTATGTGACAGGGGGGTACCAGTATGGTTGCATTATATTCCGGGCACTGTATTCCGGACTAACAGTACGCCATTTATGGTATGTAAGGGGGATTGTCGATTTTATCATGTTAAGGTTCAAATATCTATTTCATGAATTTGATTGAAGTACAATAACTACCATCACTGACTTAGTTTGATTGTTCCTCGTGTTCAGTATCATATGCAGAAATTTACGACGTATATTGTGGACCTTATGAAACAAGAGAAACTTTTTGCCTCACAAGGTGGCCCAATCATCTTAGCCCAGGCAAGTATAATCTCAAGGCTTTGATTTATTATCAGCGTGGCCACAAAGAATTCCAGTAGTTCTTTTTCTTCATTGTTCTTCTCTACATAGTCGTCTGATGACCAGTGTAAAATTGCAGGTAGAAAATGAATATGGATACTATGAAAAGTTTTATGGAGAAGGAGGAAAGAAATATGCCATGTGGGCTGCTAAGATGGCTGTTTCTCAAAATACCGGTGTCCCTTGGATAATGTGCCAGCAATGGGATGCTCCAGACCCTGTGGTGAGGTTATATTTTTGCAGAATTGTTGTTACATTGGCAATTTTGAAAAGTTTTCTGGTTCAAGTTGCGTTAGTATGCTTTTAGATTCATTTCATCTTTAAATCAACATTCTTAGCTTTTTTTTTGTTTGTTTGTAAATACTACTACAAAAATTAGCTTCTCTCTCCTCCTTGCCTCTCCCTCCCTTCCCTGATATATTTATGCAGTAAGTGGCATTTAGATAGACAACTACACATACAAACGAACGAGTCATAGGCTGACTATTGATGATTCCTCTGCAGATTGATACTTGTAACTCATTCTACTGTGACTCTTTTACACCTACGTCTCCAAAGAGGCCCAAAATTTGGACTGAGAATTGGCCAGGGTGGTATGTTGAAATTCATCTTATCTGCATCTTGCATATTATTCTTATTTGGAATCTGGAAGATCATTTTATTGTTATGTATACCTGCACGTTTTGAAAATTCAGTCTTTTATTTAGAGCCCTATTTATAAGGGTAGTCCTCCCTCCTTCGTTTGTTTAACCAAATTTAAGCATTAAAAAGTGAGCAAAAGGCTAATTGTTGGTTTTGATTTAGTAAAGGAGGCAAAGGTACTGACAATTTCTTCTACTTATAGGTTTAAAACTTTTGGGGCCAGAGATCCTCACAGGCCTGCAGAAGATGTTGCCTTTGCTGTTGCCCGCTTCTTCCAGAAAGGTGGAAGTGTACAGAATTACTACATGGTACAGATGATGGCTTCCTTTTTTTTTTTTTTTTCCTTTAAAGGAAAAATTCTTTTACCATTATGATTCTAGGTAATAGAAGACATTTCATTCATGAATCAGAAAAGTTTCATGATAAACTTGGAACTTGGAATTTCCTTCAGTATTCTACTATTGCTTTAAGTTGACCTCTTTTTCTCATCTTTGTGGTTTAGTATCATGGGGGAACAAATTTTGGGCGAACAGCTGGTGGTCCGTTCATTACTACAAGTTATGACTATGATGCCCCAATAGACGAGTATGGTAAGCTGTCACAAGTCTTTCTGTCTCTCTCTCGTTGAGGGCAAAAACGTTCTTCTCTACGCTGAAATTTATAATAATGAGTGAATTCATCATTTAATTATAGGGTTACCTAGACTTCCAAAGTGGGGACACCTAAAGGAACTTCACAAAGCTATCAAGCTATGTGAAGGTTTATTGCTTACTGGAGAATCTAAAAACATTTCCCTTGGTCCTTTCCTGGAGGTAACTTTCATGCTTTCTAACCTTTGATTTTCTTGGCTACTAAAATAAAATATTGATTTGTTTAGCTGTGAACCATCGCACCCAAATCTTGTTTTATTGCAATTTGTTTTCAAGCATCTTATATGAATTTGAATTTATGCTTACTTTATCTTGGAGACTCTTCAGTTGCTGTCAAGGTTCTAGGATACTTCACACATGTAATGTCATGATTCAAATTTTTAGTTCAATCATGTCATTTCATGTGTTTGTTATTTTTTTACAAGCTCTGTTCATATTCCATGCTATCTAGTGTCTATTTGCATTTAAAGGTACCTTATGATCTGCTTGTTTGTTAGTTGGAAGACGTTGTTCTAACCATGCTGCATTTCAGGCAGATGTATATACTGATTCATCAGGAGCGTGTGCTGCTTTTATTGCTAATATTGATGATAAAAATGATAAGACAGTCAAATTTCGGAATGCATCATATTACCTACCAGCATGGTCAGTGAGCATTCTGCCCGATTGCAAGAATGTAGTCTTTAACACTGCAAAGGTAATTTATAGTTACCTTCAGAGTAATGTCCATATTCTAATATTTGAAGCCAAAATTATATTAGCCACTTAATTTTGCCTCTAAAAATTTTAGCTTTTGCTGTATGTGAATGTCAACCTCCTGTAACTGAGACGTCTGCAGCAGAGCCAATGCACGAACAATTTTATTGTGAGAAATGTGTCACACAGTTAAATTGATTGACAGAGGTCTCTTTGCAGTCAATGTGTTAATTTAATTTTTTTTCTTTAAAAAATTTCCTGTAGTTACAACTAATGTGATACTCTTAAAGTACTGATATAATTATCAATATAGTTACAAAAGCTATTGATCTTTTGTGGAATTCTTTTTCTAAACCCTTCACTCAGACATGTGATATGCAACAGGTTAACACCCATACACACATTGTTGAAATGGTTCCAGAGAAATTACAACAGTCACATGAAAGTGTAAAGACTTTAAAGTGGGACATATTTAAAGAGAATGCAGGGACATGGGGAAATGCAGACTTGGTGAAGCATGGCTTTGTTGATCACATTAATACCACTAAAGATGCCACAGACTATCTGTGGCATACAACAAGGTTTGTTTCAATAAAAAATTGTCAAGAGTGTATGATCAATAGAAATGGACCTTTTACTGTTTCAGTATATTATTCTCTGCTCCTGTAGCATCTAGAAATAATAAACAATGAAACGCGTACGTAGTTTACTATTCTTGACATGAGAAGTAGAATCATTTGCATATATTTTCTTTTGTTTGATTAGCAGCTACTAAGATAACTTAACATTGTCTGCTGTAACAATGAAGCAGTATGTAGTTAAAATATTGTTTTATCATTATAGCTGAAGTGCTCGATTCTTATATATTCTATAATTCGATTTCAATGCATATCGAAGGACCTTGTTGGGTTGCCATGCTTTAAGTTTCGGGCATTCGCTACAGCCTATCAAGCCGCTTCCTAGTTGTTTTGCAAACTCCATAGATTATTATAAGCTCCATTACATTTGATGGAAGGGAAATGTATAAGAAATTCAAACATGCATAAAATATTGATGTGCAGTTAAAATATTGTTTTAAACTTTTTTTTTCCCTTCCTTTTTTCAATTCATGGCAGTGTATTTGTTGGTGAAAATGAAGGGTTCTTAAAGAAGGGAAGTAAACCAGTTCTTCTGATAGAATCCAAAGGTCATGCACTCCATGCTTTTGTGAATCAGGAATACCAAGGTTACCTACTCTAATATTCTGAACTTTTGATCTCATGGATTTGTTTATTTATCAAACATCTGATATGCAAACCTGTAAACAAAATATAATGTGGTTCAGCAACATATTTTCCTTCTCATCAGCAGTACAAGTGACTTCACGCTATTTCATTAAATTACAAGCATTTTCCATCTTCTTTTGGACATCGGCTACAATCACGTTATGTGCTTTGATTCTCAGTTTATTGAATGAAACATTTGATTATGTATGATAACTCTTGAAACCGCTTAGTTGTAGCAACTTTCCTTCTGTTGCTCTCTTTAATCATCATGGATGAAACACTCAATGTTTATAGTTATGTTAGTTTCTCTGTGATTTACATGAATACATATATTATTATTTCTTGGTGATACAGACATTTTAATATTCGATTACAAATGTTTTCTTTTTTTCTTTCAGTTTCTTAACTTCTTGTTTTATAGGTTCTGCAACTGGAAATGGTACCCATTCACCATACACTTTTAATCATCCAATCTCCCTCAAGGCAGGGAAAAATGAAATTGCTTTATTGAGCATGACTGTTGGCCTCCCAGTGAGTGTGTTACTCTGTGTAGAACATTCAGCCTTATTGAATGGCTTGTCTAGAAGCGTATTGTTGGTCCCCTTTAAATGCCTTGAAATCTCATTCCTCATTCCTTGTTACTTGCAGACAGCGGGCCCATTTTATGAATTTACAGGAGCAGGACTGACAAGTGTAAAGATTAAGGGATTGGACAATGGGACATTGGACTTGTCTTCTTATGCATGGACTTACAAGGTATATTTTTGTTTCTGCATATATTAAAATTTTACTCATCTAAGTTCTATCTGTTAGAGAAAATCATTGTCTTAGGCTGCTTCTATGACTTTAATAACACGGTGGGTGAAAGTAGTATTACTATCCATGAAATTTTTACTAGCCTTTGATGTCTTCCATTTCCTGCTTTGTTGCAGATTGGGGTGTACGGAGAACACCTAAAGATATACCAGGGAGATAGTTCAAATAATGTAAACTGGACTCCTACTACAGAACCACCAAAAGGGCAGCCATTGACATGGTACAAGGTAATGACTTTTTTGACCTCACCTGTGTGAGAAATTATAGAGAATTCTTTCGTTTGGCAGCTGCAGTGTGGTGGAAAATCTTAAAAAGAAAGTTCTTGATCATGCAGCTAATTGTCGATGCTCCTCCAGGGAATGAACCTGTTGGACTGGATATGTTACATATGGGAAAAGGTCTAGCCTGGTTAAATGGAGAAGAAATTGGAAGATATTGGCCTAGGAAAAATTTACATCAAGAGTGTGTTCAAAAATGCGACTACAGAGGCAAATTCAATCCTGACAAATGTGATACCGGCTGTGGAGAACCCACCCAGAAATGGTAAAACTGTGAGCTAATGGTTTAATCGAAGCTGAGGAATTAGATATGTAGCAACCTCTCTTCAATCTTTTTCCTTGACTTCTCTTACTTTAGAGATCTAGTAACTACAAGTGGCTGGAATAAAGCTTCTTGCCAAACTGCACAACACTAGTATGGGCTGGAAGAGTACTGTAATAAGGCTTTCGCTTGTGTACAAGTTGGTCTTGGTCACAAAGCAACTGAAATCCTTAACAGATTCTATAATTGATCAAAAAGCAAAAATACTATTCATGAATAGTATATATAAGAGGAAACGATTGAAAACTAACTAAATTTTATACCTTGTGGTCAGGTTTTTCTGGAAGCTTTGCTTTTTCCTCAGCAGCCATGACCAATTTATATGATAGTTATAGTCTCGTAGATTTAGTTACTTGCGTGGTATTTTGACTATCCTAATCTTACAAGTGGGTTAGATTAGAAATCATCCGTCACAAATTGCTAATATATTATGTGCTTATTGTAGCTTATACGGACTCAGTTATGATCTGTTTCTTCTCCTCATAAAATATTGTGTATTTTTTTTCCTATGTATCAGGTATCATGTTCCAAGATCTTGGTTCAAGCCGTCTGGAAATGTTCTTGTTATTTTTGAAGAGAAAGGTGGTGATCCAACAAGAATTAATTTCTTAAGACGAAAAGTTTCCGGTGCATGTGCCCTTGTGGCAGAGGATTATCCTTCCCTGGGGCTTGATCTTGACGGTGAAAATAAACTTGAGAATCACAAAAACACACCTTTTGCCCGTTTAGCATGCCCCAAAGATACTCGCATATCTGCTATCAAATTTGCTAGCTTTGGAACTCCTCTAGGAACATGTGGATCCTACAGCATAGGAGATTGCCATGATCCAAATTCTAGTATACTTGTTGAAAAGGTATCAATTTCTGGAATTTGTTCTTTACATTGTCCATTTGGTATGAAGGAAATGGAGAGGAGCAAAAATTTTAATGAGATCGATTTAAAAAATTGAACAAATGAGGTTAAAAGCTTTTGATTAATTTTTACTATTTTAAATCGAGCTTATTAAAATTTTTCCTTCCCTCTCTTCCCTCCTCCTCCATTTCTCTCATGCCAAACATAGTGTAAGTCATTCTCTTCAAACATCCGATCAAATCTCCAGTTCCGAAGCTACTTGCACAATTAAGACATGTAAAGATTTTTATTGGTTTGAGGTTTAATATACAACTAGTTCTGTTAGGCATCATCTACTAAGATAACTTGATGTGTGCATTTATCAAATCAGTTGGTGAACTGATAATAATTTCTGCAGTGTTACATGATTTGAAGCTTTAACTCTGCTATCTGCCTACTGATTATTTATTGGGGTGTGAAGGGATGATATATTAACTTGTAATCATGCTTACTTTGCTCTCTCTCTCTCTCTCTCTCTCTTTTTTCTTTCTGTTTTAAAAGATTTTATTTTATTTTTATATGTTTTATTGCTTTTGCAGGCATGCTTGAACAAAAAGGAATGTGTCATAAAATTGAATGAAGAGAATTTCAAGAAAAACTCGTGTTCTGCCGGGTTAACTAGGAAACTGGCAGTGGAGGCAGTGTGTAGCTGATACTAAGAATTCTGAAGGGTTATTGCCTTACACCATTTATACTGAACCTTGGGAGATGCAAACACAAGAGAGTTTTGCCCATCTTGTCAGCAATTTAGGCTTTTCCTTTTTTTCCCCCTAATTAATGATGATAATAATTTTGGTTCGTGACTATCTCATCGGGATTAAATATATATCGGTGTTTTTTTTCTTAAAATAAAATAAAAATTTAAAAATATATCATAAAAGAAAGTTTTGTTTTATTGAGACTCAACTACGGTGAAATGAGTTGGCATCATAAATCTTTATATTATTGTCAACTTTACCCCCAATGAAAAAATAAATCAATTTTTGTGGACCCATCGTATCAAGCCAGGGGTTTGGTTACCTTTTGCGCCTTTGTGGGGTCTACTATATTTTTCTCCAAGAGGATATAGATAGATATTAGCCTATCACGTTAATCATAATTAGATTCTAATAAAACTTTTATAAAATAACTGAAGAAAAAATTCAGATCATTATAAATTTAAGAGTTTCACATTACGAAGTAGGCTTTTTTTTTTTAAATCATAATTCTCACATTCAATATACTCTTTACATAGCTTTTAAACTCTCAGTTTCATGATTAAAATAATTTTAAAAATGATGTTTATTCTTATCTATTTAACATTTAAATTCTATTGGAATACATGAAGAGATGTTAAAAAATTCAGAACAAAGTTGCGTAAAACGAAAAGGAAAAAATTGTAAACAAAGATGGAAATGATAGGAGAAAAAAGTTATATAAGATGAAGAAGAGTGACGTTGTTTATATTTTACAACATGTGAATAGTGTGGCCCTCTGTACAACTTTTATCTTATATTATTAATAATATTAATATTTAAAGATATAGCTAAGTTTTCCACCCCCCAAAAGCTTCTTTTTCTACTGGGGCTCTAAATGCAATCTTCTCTTAGTTACTTCATTATCATTGGGCTTTGGTCTAAAATGTATTTGATGGGTTTGTCCCAAAACGTTTTAGTCCAATATATTTCGACACTAAAGCAACCAAACTGTGTGAGATAGCTAGTGGGCTTATTTGTTAATGTTACTGGCCCAAACCAACCCAATTTAGCGTTTGTACTTTTTTGTAGCTCGTTAGTTTGAATTCATTGGGTCAACAGAAGTCAAATATCCATAAAATTTCTATTTGTGGCTTGAATGTGAAAGGTTATTTGGAGTAGATTCTTTCAAGGCCAATATGACCGAATAATTTCTTGATACATTGCTGGTGGTGTTTCTCTGCTATGTAAAATCTGTTGGCTGGAAGAATCTGGTACTACTATCCCATTTAGTTCTCTATATTTAGATACCTTAGCTAAACCAGCCTGTGTTTTATTGTAGTAGTATATTCCTGATCTAAATTGTGTTCCCATAGCGATCCCCTACAATCATTAGTTAATACAAAGTCAAAGTGAACGAAGAAAATTTGAGGAGATCCAGATATAAACAAGAAGACATTTTAGAACCAAAACGTGAGGAGAGTACCTAGCGATTGAGAGAGGTAGGATCATGGCAAGACCAGAAATAGGAGAGAAGATTGTTGTAGAAACTCACTTGTGGGTCAAACTGGACTTAGACAACGTCTCCATGGTTAGTGGTTTCAGAGTGCACCTTGTCGTAGTCCGGATTGGAAACATGACCTTAAGAGTATCCCACTTCAGTCTTGATGACACTAGGGAGTCACTGAAATTGGGTTCTACTACCCAGAAAGGCACCAGCCCTGAATTGAGTGAACTTGTGGGTCAGGTTGTTAGGGAAATTTTGAATTCGGATCCAAAATAGGGTTATGAGTGGTAGGAGTCACTGATTTCAAGTGACAGGGAAGAACTAGTAGTTTTGACGTTTCAAAGCATTATCACCCAACTATTACTCCTATTTATTTGGTCCCACATAATAAAGTAAAATTATAAGCAAATCATAGGTCAGTAGAGCTTATTTCATATGTCAGAACTTGAAATGCAAAACTACTGTTATTATGTGAACTAAAATAAAAATAAGTAGCTCATAACTTATCAAAAGGTTGGTCAACCTTGTGATTTTCCAACACTTTGAATCCTTGTTTTTTCATGCTTAAGGGTTTAAGTAGATTACCATATTTTTGTTTAGCTTTCTTGGGGGTGAGTCTGTTTAGATTAGTTATGGATTTGTGGAATCTTTTCCTTGAGGATTTGTACTATTTTGGTATCAGAGTTTTATTTCTAAACGTAAGTTATAACTCTCTGTTCTTTGCTTAGTGTCCTTTGGGTGACTATATTTTAAATTGGTTTTTTTTCTTATGGGCTTGCACTATCATGGTATCAAAACTTTAGTTCTAAACTTAGATCATATCATTCTATTATTTGTTTAGCTTTTCTGGAGTGAGTATATTTTAAATTGATTATAGATTCATGGGATCTTTTTCTTATGAATTCGTACTATCTTGGTATCAGATCTTTCAATTATAAACTCAAATTATATCCTTTTGTTGTTTGTTTAGTTTTTTTGGGGTGAGTATATTTTAGATTGATTATTTGGTTTGTGGGATCTTTTTTTTATTGGTTTGCACTATTCTGGTATCAGAACTTCAATTCTAAACTTAGGTCATATTCTTATGTTGTTTGTTTTTAGACTTATTGTAGGTTTATGGGATCTTTTCTTTGTGCGTTTATACTATCTTGGTATTAGAGCTTCAGTTCTAAACTCAGGTCACATCCTTTTGTTATTTATTTAGTTTTTTTTGGGATGAGTATATTTTAGATTGGTCGTAGGTTTGTTAGATTTTTTTCTTGTGTATTTGCACAATCTTGATATCAAAGATTGAGTTTTAAACTCAGGATATATCCTTCTATTGTTTTTTTAGTTTTTTTGGGGTGAGTATATTTTAGATTGGTTGTAGGTTGATGGGATCTTTTTCTTATCAGAGCTTCAATTTAAGCTCAAGTCATATCTTTCTATTATTTGTTTTTATTTTTTTCTGTGTTTTGTGTTTTTTTTGTGCCTGTTTATCTTTTTCATTTCAATGCATCTCTAATTGTTTTGCTCGACCAATTTTTTTGTGTGTTTTCTGATATCTAATAGGCTATTTTTATAGTTTAAGATTCTATCTTTTTGCTTGTTTTAAAATCATCTCAATCAGAAGTTTCTCCTACTAGAAAGAAACTTATGAGGCCAATACCGCCAAAGCAGCCAAATAATTTTTTGATGCATTGTTGGTGGTATTCCTCTACTATAAAAAATTTCTTCGCCAGAAGAATCTCTATCATTATCTTCCCATTCACTACTCTTTGTTTAGAACTCTTGATTTCTTTGCTAAATCAGCTTGTGTTTCATTGTAGTAGTATATCCTTGATCTAAATTGTGCTTTCATAGTAAGCCTTTACAATCAATATCAATAGTATAGAATTATAATTGATATAAAGTCAAGAGGTTCACAAAGTCAAGTCAGTGGAAAAAATTTAATGAGATCCAGTTATTAAAAAAGAAGAAGAAGACATTTTAGAACCAAAGGACTCAATCAAATTAACGAGAGGAACGCAAAAAGAAGAGAGTACCTGGTGATTGATAGGTATGAGATTGTGACAATACCAAAAGCAGGAGAGAAGATCTGTGTAGGAACACTCTTGCGAGTCAAACTGGAACCGAACAACCTCTACGTGGTTAGTGGTCCCAGAGTGCACCATGTAGTCCGGATTGGGAATATGACCTTGAGAGTATCCAACTTCAGTCTTAACGACACTAGCAAGTCGTTGAAATGGGGTTTTGCTCCCAGAAGGAACCAGCTCCGAACTGAGTGAACTCATGAGTCAGGTTGTCAGGGGAATCTAAATCCGGATCCAAAGCAGGGTTATGAGTGTTGAGAGTCATTGAGTTGAAAGTGACAAGAAGGAAGTGGTGAGTGTGTTTTAGATTGTTTTTGGATTTGTAAGATCTTTTTCTTGTGGGTTCGTATTATTTTGGTATCAGAGTGTTAGTTCTAAACTCAAGTCATATCTCTGTTTTTTTGCTTGGGTGAGTATATTTTAAATTGATTTTTTTATTAGTTTGCATTATGTTGGTATCAGAGTTTTCCTTTGACAGTAATATTTACAAATGAATATTGCAACTTCTTTGCAAACAAGAACTAAAAAGAGGAAGTATTCAAGTTTGAGCTAATAATTGAAGCACTCGTATTGATTGGGATAGAAATATGATCGTGACTCATGGCTGAAAACCTAACCAAACAAAGAGGCTCAAGTTATTTTCGTAAATTATTTTAGAAATTAGGAAATACTATCTTTACAATGCCCACAGTCTATGAACAAGCCTAACCATATATTGAAAGAACACAGTGGTTATTCATCTCCGAACCATATTTTTTTTAGGCTAGCATAGCCAAAACTGCCAAATAATTTCTTGATGCATTACTGGTAGTATTCCCCTGCCATGAAAAAACTTTGTTGAAAGAATCTCTGTCGCTACCTTCTTATTTACTTCTCTCTCTTTAGATTCCTTTAATTCCTTTGGTAAATCAGCCTGTGTTTCATTATAGTAGTATATTCCTGATCTATATTATGTTTCCACAGCAATCCCCTACAATCAATATCAATAGTATAGAATTATAATTAACACAAAGTCAAAAGATTCAAAAAATCAAGTCAATGAAGGAAATATAATGAGATTGAATTATTAAAAAAGAACAATATTTAGAACTAAAGGACTCAATCAAACTAGCGAGAGGGACGAAATCGTGGCAAGACCAAAAGCAGGAGAGAAGATCTGTGTAGGAACATACTTGCGGGTCAAACTGGATCTGAACAACCTGTATGTGGTTAGTGGTCCCAGAGTGCACCAACATTTAGTCCGGATCAGGAATATGACCTTGAGAGTATCCCACTTCGATCTTAACGACACTAGTGAGTCGTTGAAATGGGGCTTTGCTCCCTAGAAAGAACCATCTCCGAACTGAATGAACTCATGAGTTAGGTTGTCAGAGAAATCTAAATCCGGATCCAAAGCAGGGTTTTGAGTGGTGAGAGTCATTGAGTTGAAAGTGACAAGAAAGAAGTGGTGAGTGTGTTTTAGATTGTTTTTGGATTTGTAGGATCTTTTTCTTGTGGGTTCATACTATTTTGGTATTAGAGTATTTGAGCTAATAATTAAAGCACTCGTGTTG